TAACGGTTATAGAAATATGAATTTTTATCCGGGAGCTTTGAAATGCGCTCTGATGCTGAAAGCGGCTAGCGGCTACCATTCTGGAAATCATCTGCATTAGTGCGTTAGCGTTACATCTAGAAATAAAATAAAAAAATCTATAAATCTATAAACATAAAGTAATTGATTGAATCCTTTTTTATGAAGTTAGTTTAAATATTTTCTCCTTCGTCATCCTCATATAAATCAGGAACATTATTTTGACAACTCTTGCAGGAACAATCGCTGCAGCATGTTAAACCCTCTTTCAAGCAGACACATTCATTATTTTGACATAATTTATCTTCGCAGAAGACATTCATCAGTTGCCTTATATCCATTGGTATGGCATCAGCAGTCATCAAAACACGCTCAAAAATTCCATTATTCCTAGTCCAACCAAAGTTCACAGGGTCAAGTAAAGGCATAATAGGTATACGACTGGATATCCATATACGCAGTTGATATATGCACCTGAAATTTTGTTTATCGCATAAATACAGCTTCTTTTGTTATATATACACCTAGCTCAGTTCATGCTGGTAAAATGTATCATCTGTGGGTAGAAGTTCAGAAGCGGATTTATTGGAAGTTGTGGTCAATTCATATCTCAATTAATCGAGGGTTTTTAGGGCCTCGTTCTTATTTCTGAATAGGGCCAATGCGGTGGCAATATAAGGTTCCAAGATTTTTAGAAAATACATTTTTTGCCTTTGCATTTGTGGTATCGCATCCTGTTAACACATGCAACGCTGGTAAACATTTATAAACTTCATTTTCCAGTTTCTGCACTATTTATTGGAATGATCCGTTTTTTATTCCCTTGTCCTAATTCCATAAAAAGGTAGGTTTCTTTCAAAGAACTTACTTCAATAAATTCAGAATAGTGGTAAATAAGTAATTAAGGTTAATAAGCAGAGCGGAAGACGATCTCTGCATATTCTGCTCAGACGCAATAGAAACTGCAGAGCACCTGCTCTGCGAATGTCCAGCCCAATTCTGCAAGAGGCTCAAATTCCTCGAGGGGGCAACACTGTCACCAGAAGAAGTGGGCCAACTGACACCCAGGAAAATAGCTTCCTTCGGCAGAAGTCTACGCTTCCTGGAGACAAATTAAGATGTAGAGTCACGCAAAAAATATCTACAAAGGTAGCAGTGCTGAGCGGCTGAAAAGCCGAAACGACTCCCCCGAAATCTACAATCTACAAATAAGTAATACCAGAACATTTGCATCTGCAGACTTCACCAACACTTTTTTTTGGTGAAGTATCTGATATTCATATAAGACGTGGATTATAAGTCGTGCATCAGTCTCATCATGATTCGATTTCAAATCTTTCAATTCGGTTACACAGTTACACCATCCTTGTTGACAGAAAAGCATAACTCTGGGTTTTCAAAACCACCAGCGATGATCAGAGTTTCTTCTATTTGTCAGCTAAATGTTCCAAAATATAACCAGTTACAAATTTCAATAGGGATTCTTCATTTTCTGACGCATACGTATCTGCGAACTTACTTCTTCTGCGTCTTTCCAAAGACTTGACCGATTCATCTATTAAAAACCACCGGTATCCTCAGTGCTTCATACCTTCGACCAAGTGAAAGAATTTACTTCAGAAAAATACATGCGAGTTCATTAAAAGTTAAGTTGAAAATGCTTTATCATTTAGTCCTTGAATAAGTACCATGCCATCTATTATAAGTGAATTGAAGGGGGTGTGACCCAAAAATGAAGTTTTAGTGCGAAAAAATCTAAGAACAAATATTTGAACCGCATCTTGCTACGATGAACCGTTTTCGAGTATAAGAGTGGTTCAAAGTGACAAACGCCTAGGCTGTGACGTCACACTGGCTTCGGAGGCACAATTAAAATATGTGTAAAATTTTCCAAGACAAAAGTCAACGATCTCACTTAAAGCAAATTGCAACCACTTAAAGTATAGGGCACGGTTCAACCACTGAACAAACAGAAGGCTATGATTTCGGCGGTTAGCCGGTGTGACGTCACAGGTTCCCGCAAAATTTATTTTCATGAAGAATTTTCTCGGATAGTATGTTGAATGAAAGACTGCCGTTTCCACGGGAGATCTTAGGATTTTTTTTCTTGATTTACGTAACTTAAGTTGCTTTTTTTAGTCACACCCTTGTTTAACATCAGTTCGAAGAGAAGCGACTGTTGAATATGGTTCAAACTTTGATAATAAATCAGACTTAGCTGTTTTTCGCATACGAACGCACAAAACTGGAAAAGTCAGAAAATGCACCTCTTGGTGAATGCACGAATAATTCCGTCGCGACGCGGTTCACGATGGGCTGAGCGCACTCCAGGGCTCTTAGATAAAAATTTATATTTCTATAACCGTTAAAGTTAGCACCTTAATTTTTTTTTTTAAAACTTCGTCAATGTTTTTACTACATTTGATTCGATATATATGTATAGAAATTTTCAATAATACACATTGCTCGCCGCAGAGTGAAGTTTAAGATGCACGATTTTGATAATTCTATATTCCTAACTTTTTAACAAAAAAACCTTGAGCCTTTTCGAAATTTCTGAATTGTCATTAAAAGCGCTCATGTTTCAAGTATAAGTGTGCAAAAAATCTGAATTTTAGATTGTATGCTTAAATTAATACAGCGGGTTATGTTTAGAAAAACATAGTTTTTCAAATTCGAGCTCAGTCACGTTTAAGGGCCGATTTCAAGGTTCAGTCCTATTAAAAAAAGTTGTACATTCCCATTTCCTATGCCCCAAAGTGTCCTCTACAAGATGATATAGGTTTCATCTGGTTATACCTCGGAATCACCCACCCTCAGAAAACAGCGAATTAGAGCAGTGATTTTATTCCACTATGATGTCTGGAGCATCCTTCTCCCTCCGCATCGCGGTTTTCTATACGAGAACATCGAGTACAGTTTCTACTAATATGTCTATCTTGGCAGCAGTAGAAGATAGTTATTGATTTTCTGTTTACGTATGAATCCTGAAGTGATACCTCTAGCTTTTGAAAAAGTATCTGCCTCCGTGTTCGGAAGTTCTGCGAACATCCATACTCCCCAAATTTTTCTCATTCTGATCAAAGAACCGTTTTTAGCAACTTCATACTCCATAGTGCATGGACAAAGCTTTCTGTTAGGGAGTTATAATAACTCGGTGTTCTGTAGCTTTTTGTAAACCGGACTATCATCTGGATTTCCTCTTGTTTTAAGGCGCCCAAAATAGCTGAGTAATCTTTTTTCATACGTCAGAAATATTTTCAAGAATTTTAATGCCAGTCGCAATACTAATGCTTCTTGCTAATCATTCCACAAAATATGCAGGGGGCTCAAGTTGACGGTCAAGGATGTTGTGTCATGAAAAGTTAAGGATTTGAGTTAGCCACTTAGGAGACAGCTCACCGACATAATTTAATTCACCGTTACATACTAACAAGGAACTTAATTTACTGTTACATACTAACAAGGCGTTTAAAAAAATAATACGCCGTTGTACCAGAACACTGTTTTTCAAATAAAAACCACCAATTTCTTGTTGATTTTCGGATTTCTTGATAAATTTTGGGAAATCATACAGCTTGAGTGTCCTTTACTAAAATTCGACTGTTTTTCTATTTCAACAAATATTTTCTGCCAACTGACAGTGAGCCAATCGATTAACAAATTCTTCTTGTACAGGGTGACACGTTTAAGAGGGGCCTCTACCTCTCAGGGTGATTAAAGAAAGTTTATTGTATTTTTCGATAGCCTTTCAAAAGACAAATTCAACGATATGAATAACATGAGGCGGAGTTGCACCGTTTCGGACTTATTGGCGATTATCATCCGTTCTAAGCTAAGACTTCATATGTCATACTTGAGACGCCTGGTGAATTTGAAACCTTCTATTTTTGTAGTAGATTTATCAATATTACTAGTGCATTAAATCAAAAAATACCCAAGTTTTATGTAGAGGTATTGTAAAAAATACCCAGTTGTCCAACAATTGGCTATAGTCGACAACTATAAAATATAATATTTCCAAAAATGTATCCAATGACAAAAAAACAAACTAGATGTGTCATAAAATCGATCGGTTTATAAGAAAGGACCCCGCACACCTCTTATGGGATTTGGGACTTCCGCTAAATTGAACCAAATTCTAGTATGATAGAAATTTGACCTTTCTGATCAATACTTAGCATTGGCCCAACTTGATCCTATGACTAGTTTTTGAGATACAGGTAGTTTAATGTTCAAGAAATGTACTCATTTTATATGCATTTACATCTACCTGTCACCTAATAATATACCAGGATGGATAGGTATCCTCACACTCAGGTGACAGGTAGATGCAAATGCATATAAAATGAGTACATTTCTGAACATTAAACTATCTGTATCTCAAAAACTAGTCATAGGATTAATTTGTGTCCATGGTAGCTATTGATCAGAAAGGTGGAATCTATTGCATACTAAAATTTGGTTTGGCTATAGTCGACAACTATAAAATATAATATTTCCAAAATACATTTCTGAACATTAAACTACCTGTATCTCAAAAACTAGTCATAGGATTAATTTGTGTCCATGGTAGCTATTGATCAGAAAGGTGGAATCTATTTCATACTAAAATTTGGTTAAATTTGGCGGAAATCCCAAATCTCATAAGAGGTGTGCGGGGTCCTTTATCCATACTTTATGACCTGTAAAATAGTTGTGATTTTTTGATTCACTTAAAACTACAATTTAGGAAAAGCTTTATCATACAAATTATTTCAAGTACATGGCTATGATAGAATTGTAAAAAATTTGAATACCTTATTCAGTATTTTTTATACTTAATATAAAATAGTACATATGGCTAGAGTTTCAAGTTCAGTTTCTGCTCAGAAGGCTTTAGCATGTCTAATAAGATTATTATGAAACTATTGTCGTTTTTTGTTTTAGATTTTTCTCATTCTCATATATGTATGTCTTTTTTTACCAAACTTTATTTATAGCTACATGTCCGAATTAAACCACGCCATAAGCATTTCAATTCACAAACCTAAGAAGTGCCTGGTACTTCAAAGAAAGTCTGTTTTTATTGCTGATTTGGATCCAGAAAGGGACGTTGATTGGGAAGAAGCCATCAAAAATGTTGAAAGCGTTCCGTGCGTACCAGTCGAAGCCAACGAGCCATTGTATATATTATATACTTCAGGGACAACAGGTACTTATTGGCCGTCGTATGAACTTGTTTATACTAGAATACCTCAATTTCTACTGATACATCCTTATTATATTATTTTAGGAGAACCCAAAGGTGTTCAAAGACCCATAGGTGGACACTTGGTTGCATTAGCTTTTACCATGCAAACGTTATATGGAATGAGTCCCAACGATGTTTGGTGGTCTACCAGTGATTTTGGTTGGGTCGTGGGCCATTCTTATATGTGCTATGGTCCATTAGTTTATGGTATGACTAGCATAATATATGAAGGAAAACCTACGACTACACCTGATCCAAGCTCATATTACAGGCAAGGGTTCTAGAATAATATTTTATGATCCATTAAGTAATACATTTACCTTCAGAATTATTAATGAGTACAAAGTCAACGCGATCTTTACCATACCTACTGCTCTAAGAATACTGAAAGAAGTAGATCCAGAAGCTAAATTTGGAGCAGAATATGATATTTCTAGTTTGAAAACCATTTGGGTGGCTGGAGAACATTCGGATATGTCTTCGAAAATTTGGGCTGAAAAAATATTTAATGTTCCCATTTACAATCACTGGTGGCAAACCGAGACCGGTTCTGCTATTTCTGGGACATGTTTGGGATTGGCTAATCCCTGTCACGATAGCATGCTGACTACTGGTTTGCCATTTCCTGGATATAATGGTAAATCCAGAATATCAAATTATATAAAGTAGTAATTGAATGTATTTATTTTCTAGTACAAGTATTGCTTAGAGATGGCAGTCCTGCAAAAACAAATGAACTTGGTAGAATAGCAGTTAAGCTTCCGTTACCTCCTGGAGCATTGTCAACTTTGTATAAAGCTGATAATCGATTTTATGAGACGTACTTTACAAAATACGCTGTGAGTTTCAAAGCTGCCTGTCATGCATATATTTTTATATAAAGTTCTTCTAGGGGTTCTATGACACAATGGACGCAGGATATATAGACGAAAACGGTCTTGTCTACGTCACTGCTAGAGCAGATGATGTTATAAACGTAGCTGGTCATAGATTATCCACTCTAGCTATAGAAGACATAATTCTATCTCACCCAGACATTTGCAACGCTTGCGTGGTTTCAGTACCGGATAAGATCAAGAATGAAGTACCTCTGTGCCTGTTTGTTGCGAAGAAAGGTACCTATTTATAGAATTTTTAAGATAGTTCCCTTCTGGCATGTTCCGATAAACGATTCTCGATCGTTCCGTTATAAGCTATCACGTTTAAATTCTATTCGTGAAACTTCTGGTGGATGACCGGCATACGTGGTATGAGCAATAAGGCACGAAATACGGGTTCAAGAGCTAAGTCTGTTATTTTGAGATCTATGGGGTTGACAATTCGTATTTAGGTAGTATTCTTTTGGGGCTGACCCAGTGGCATTGCCAAATTGTGCAAAATGTTCCCAACTTGAAGAAAACGTACCAAATTTCAGTATGGGAAGCTACTTGACTAATTATCTTGATGATGATTCATTATTCCTCGGATTAATCCAAAGCGTTTGATTGCAATAGTCAAACCCTTCTTGTTTCAATTCATATATACTTGGGACATGGAATTCTCGTGCCACCCAACTAGCCTTCTATCAATACTCTACATTCAATTTTGTACAAGTAAAGAGTGAATTACCTCAAAGTCTATACGCCTTTAAGCTTTTTTCTATGTCCCAATTTTTTGAAGTGCTGCAATATTGCCTTGCTCACTATCACGCTTATGGCTGATGACATTAAGATTTATTCCACTTTCAATCCATCCGAGTTGGATCAAGCCTGTATGGAAATAATAAGGATCTGGAATCATCGATCGAAGTAAGCCCTTCGAATTAATTCCCCGCTAATGATATTTGATATTTGGTACAACTCATGAAGTGACTTGGTAACAACGATGCTAACATTGTTCGTAATAACGAAAAAGTAACACCTGTAGCGAAGGCAACAAATTCGAGCTTACTGTTCAATTTTGGAACGGTACCTATTGATCAAAAGAACATTTTGTTCTCGTTCTCTAAAACCGATCTCTTCTGTCATCGGAATAAGATGCGAACTCTGCCTTTTGTCAGTTTTGTCCGTAGGGTATATTACAGTTTCAAAATTTCTATAGTTTATAATTTTTCTATATGGTCAATCCAAAGCTTTCATAAAAAATGTTTGAAAGAGATTTTGAGACAGATAGGTCAACTTTATCGGCCACATATATTGTTTCAGATGCTCTTCTGGACGACTACATAATAGCCGAAGAATTAACAGCAATGGTTAGGGAACACATGGGTCCAGTTGCTTCATTCCGATTGGCTGTTAGTGTCAGAGGGTTGCCAACCACTAGATCTGGAAAAATCTGTCGGAAGTCCATTGCTGATTTAGCTAGAAATAAAATGAAGAAGGTAAGACATAATTTTTCGCATCACATATTGGAAAACAGAACAGTTAAAGAATCAACTTGTTGTCAATCTCGGCTCCTTCTGTGTAAGTCCGATCGAATTGACATACGAAACTAGTCCTCTAAATCCATACTACCACTTCTACACCAATTATAGGGGTAGAGTGGAAAGAGAGGTAACATTTTGAATTTTACGTGTTTGGTGGAAATGGGAAATGGAAATTTTATTGTATTGTGAAGTAAAAAATCAAATAGATTTGAGTCGGAATTTTTTATATCCTAGATATACATTTTTTACTTGAATAAAAAAAAATCAATTAATCTAATATAATCTTCTAAATATTTTCGAAAATTCGTGGCACGTGCATCACTGTTATCACTGAACGAAGTATTTTTTTTTTTATATCAATTTGAACTCCATTTAGATTAAGATGCATGACAAATTTTAGTACTGATAGCCAAACGAGGATGCCAAAAGTCAACGCCAATATTGTTATCAGGATGGCACACAAAAATATAGCAGGAACCCTTATAACGCGATTTTGAATAGCACTTGACTGCATCGTTCTCCTTTAAAATATCCAATAAATCAACTGCCTTTTTGGCTCAAGCAAACTATAAAATTTCTACGGCGGAGTTTAAGCCTTGGAATATCACTTTTAAATCTTTTTTTTTTCAGATTCCTGGGACTGTCTTAGATCCAACAGTATATCCAGAAATTGAAGAAGCCCTTAAGAAACTTGGTTTTTGTTCCTAGATAATAATAATTGTGTTCAGGTTGATTTAGTTCAAAAATATTATATAAATCATATTTCATTAGTCAAGTTCAGATTTACAAAAAATTAAAACTACAAAAATGCTAAGAGGGATTTTTTAACAGGCGTGTATGACCTAATTTTAATCAAAACATTTCTGTCTTGAAGAACAGTTTTCCAATTAAATTTTTAGTGATGAATATATTGTGTCTCATTCTCCCAAAACCAATACCCAAAAGATGATCCAAAATTCAACTGATTTTGAGATGCCTCTCGGTGGAAAAGCTAGGTAAATTGTTAAATAGGGCATGCTGATTAATATATTGAATTAAACCAAATTAACCTCTCAACTATGAACCAATAAATTATTATAGTACCGTACAAGATAATTAATTGCTGGACAGAACTTTAAAAAAAAATTGATTATTAACCTACCTAAATATTTTTCTTTGGCCACCAAATGATGGATCTGAATTTGGCATCAAACTGATCAAATCTATGTAAGTAGGTACCTACATATTGCGAAAAAACAATATTTCGGTTGCTGGTTGGATTTAAAGTGAACACATTGAAAAATATTGTAGGGGTTAACTTATTTTTATCAAAAGAAAATATGGTCTATGGCATACGTTATATTAGTTTATGTACCTATCTAAAGAAATTTAAGTGTAGTATATTTGCTATCATCTTCATCTCTATCTCCGTCTGAAAAATCAGGTTGATACAAACTATCACAAGTTGGATGGTCCGCATTACAACTACACATTTTTGTGCAAGGTATTTTGTTTGCTAAACATTTACATGGTGGTGAACATCGATTTTTTAGACACCAACAGTTGAAGAAGAGACTCTGGAGCAGATAGATGGTTCTTCCACAGATAACAGGGGTCTGCTCTCCCTTCTCCAAAAACCAGCCGTCTCCAACTGGATTAGGGATGACTGCATTTGCTTCATCATCTTTTGACTACACAAATGCTTGAAGGTTAGCTCTCTTAATTGCGGGTACAAGGGAACCTCTAGTGGGGGGTAACTTATCTCCAAGGGATGGTTTGGCAGTAAACATTGAACACCGTAATTCTGCAAGTGATTTCGTTCAAATACTTCCTTTATAAACCCGACAAATAAAATATTTCCAGCTGATAAGTAACATCATCAGGTACTAAATTTACTGGTACAAAGTTTCTGCAAGACGGTAACTTCTTCACTCGCCGAAAGAAATTACTTGCATAGAAATTTGTAGTTGGAATACGGACCATTTAACTTGTGATAATTTGTATCCACCTGATTTTGCCGACAAAGATAGTGATGGAGATGATATAGTGATGAGGTCGAACCTAATTTTATTAAAATGTATGTGTAAATATTATTTAAATTTCTTAAATACATAAACTAATATAACATAGACCATATTTTCTTCTGCAAAAAATAAGGTAACACCGAGGGTAACACCTAATATTGTCACGCTCTAGCTTGCGTGACAGAAATCTTGAGTCCGTTTATTCCAAAATCAAAGTCCATTTAGCACAACAATAATTTATTCCACGTTACTATACACTGCTCTGACACTAATTATTTCCCTAATTAACTCAAACAACTTAACTCTTTACAACATTACGATATTCACTATCTAAATCGTATCACAGTCAATCTTTAAACTAAAAACTACTAACTAATGTAATCCATTCTTGTAAAATCCAGAATAAACGCAATAATCTCTTTGTCCGAATAAAGCAGTATTTTCTAGATTTCAAGTTAGATTCTGTACTGTTTCTCGAAGGCGCCACCTTGAAACTGCCCTCCTCTTAAGGTTGAGCATCCCGATCAACTGCACGCCCATGATATTTCGTCAATCTGTCCAGAACTTTCCTCTCACTCCGGATGTTGTGCTGAACTCGATAAACCAAATCATTGATTCTCTTGATTATTCTGTAGGGTCCTTCTCAAGCTGAAGACAATTTTGGCGACAATCCTTTCTTCCTTGTTGGATTAAGGCCGGGACACATCTGTCATGCATTCTTCCGATCCAACTCCGATCATACAATCAGGGTCCTTATTCTTGGAGCAGGAGAGCAACGTTCCCAGGAGAACGAGTGCTCCGTCTTCGTTACTCATATTATCAGTTGCATATAATTGAGAAAGGCGGAACACTCGATCTCCTGGGAACGCTGCTTCCTGTTCCAAGAATAAGGATCCTGATTGTATGATCGGAGTCGGATCGGAAGAATGCATAATAGATGTGTCCCGGCCTTTATACAGCCACACCAAATCACCTCCTTGAAATCCGGTTGAATTGGCTTCCAAGTCGTATCTGGTCTTCATTCGGTCACTGGCTAGCTGAATAAGCTCCCGAGCAAAATCATGTATCCCCAGGGCCCGTATTCTCGTAACCCGGGAACAGCTTTCCCTCAAGAGAACGATTGTTCTGTCTTTGTCAGTATTATAGAAATAAGAATATGGGTGACTAAGACAGAGCAATCGTTCTCTTGAGAGAACGCTGTTCCCCGGTGACAAAAATACGGGCCCAGAAGTCGTGCCCCTACTTCGTCGGCATAATCTCGATTTTTTTTTCGTTCTCGTATTTCAAACATCAGATCGCAAGGTAACCTGAGTTCCCTTCCAAAAACGATTCTAGCTGGACTTCCACCTGTTGACTCGTGAACAACTGCTCTGTAAGCCATTGAAAATAGAGGCAAGTGTGTGTCCCAATCTCGCCGGTTCTTTGCGACCACTTTTGTCAGGTGTTTCTCTATGGTCTTATCAAATCGTTCTACCATGCCATCAGACTGTGGATGTGAAGGTGTTGTCCTTGTCTTACGAATACCCATGATCTCACAAATTTTCTTAAAGATGGCAGATTTGAAGTTTCGTCCCTGATCTGAAAGCAACTCTAGTGGCACACCATGACGACTGAAAATTTCGTCCACTAGCATCTGGACAAAATTGATGGCTTCTTGATTGGGAATAGCGAAAACTTCTGGCCATTTATTAAAGTAATCCATGATAACCAAGATGTATTTGTAACCACGCTCTAATTCAGGGAACTGCCCGGCAACATCTATCGCTATTGGTTCAAATGGGAGACCGACGTTGTACTGTTTCATGGGCCCCCGAGATCCTAGTTTAGGGCCTTTACTGGTAGCACAGATATCGCATTTTCGACGCCAGTTTTATCGTCTTCATGATAGTGAACCCAGTAAAAACGTTCCCGAATTTTGTCCAAAGTCTTGTTAACTCCAAAATGTACCCCTGAGGTTCTGTCATGTATTTCTTTTAATACGTCTTCTAGTTGATCTTTTGGAATAAATAGTTGGCTCTTAGTAGATTTTCCATCGGCACTTTCCCAAATTATTTTCAGTAAACCATTATCTACGGCCAAAGAGTTCCACTGAGCCCACAACGCCTGGTAAATAAATCTCTTGTTCGACACTTCCCTCCATTCTGGCCTACATTCATCATTTTCTTTAGGATGTAGAAATTGCCCGATGCCCTGGTCTGCTTCTTGATCTTCTCTCGTTTGTTCGGTAGTCCATTTGTCATCAACGATCTGACCCGTTCTTCTCACAGCCGGACCGGTGTTTTTCTCATGCATATCGATTCTTTGTCAATGCTTGCAGTCTTCTCTGCATGGTCGTGTAGACAGAGGGTCAGCATTTCTATGCAGGTTTCCAGGTCGCTGTTCAATACGCATACGATTTTCAGTATTGCTGCAATTTCTCAATCCATCTAGCAAGCTGTCCTTCGGGAGTTTTTATTTCTAAAAGCCATTTTAGAGCCGCATGATCTGTTCGAATTAGAAGCTTGCGTCCGTAGAGATAATTATGGAAATGGTCGACTGATGCCCTTTTGATCGGGATAGGACAGCACTGGGCTTGTACATAATTATGCTCCTTCTAATTCTCTAAATGCGGAATCGCATTCTTGGGTCTAATTGAATGTTGATTTTTCTTCCGTTATTCGATGAAGCAGAGCAGCTATATTGGCGAATCCTTCCACAAATCTTCGATAAAAAGAACAAAATCCTAGAAAACTCCTTAGTTCATGTTTGTCGCGTGGTTTTGGCCAATCCCTGACAGCATCTATCTTTTCTTCCCTAACTAGTATACTATCTTCAGATACCACGTGACCTAAGAATTCCATTTTCTTCTGAAATAGGAAACACTTATTTGGATTGAGTTTTAGGTTGGCTTTCCGGAAGCGGTCAAAAACTTCTTTCAGGTTATTAAGATGTTCTTGGAACGAATTTCAGATATCGCTACCATGTCTCTGAAACTGCTGGGCTTTGTCAAAAGGTGTTCAAGGGACTTCACTAACGTCTCCTCCATCAGGATTCTCTACTGCACAATGATAAGGTCCATCCTGGAGTACTGCTCCTCGGTTTAATCACCTATGTATTCTGTCCACATCAACGCCTTGAAGCAGGTGCAGTGTGAATTTGTACGATACTTGGCCTTCAAGGCAGGTTTTCCTCCTCCCGAAAATCATATCTACAACTATGATGACCTCTACCGACGCTTCAACCTGCAACCCTCAGCCGCCAAACGAAATCATAGGGATTTATTAACATTTTTCAAAATAGTGAACTCTCACAACGATTCCATGTACCTACTATCCAGAATTGGACTTCATACCCCAGCCAGAACCACACGCTCTTCCACTACCTTCCCAGAAAAGATCCACCGGACTAACTATGTTTCGAATACGTTTATCTCCAGAGCTTCCCGAATCTTTAATGAGTTCAATACCCTAGGCTTTTTCAGTACTCGTGATTCGTGAAGTCTTTAAAAGAGAGCTTAACTCCTTAAACAAAGTTCCTGTACCTATTAATTGTTAATGTCATATTTATTGATAAGAAATAATTTTATTGTAAGTAATGTTCGTCATCTTGTCATGTTGTTGAGTAAGTCTTTTGTTTTTCTATTTTAATTCTTGTTATCAACTAATTTGTTGTCTAAACGTCTAATTATCATTGTATCTAGATGTTCTGTATGCTATTGTGGGATTTCCCGTCAATAAATAAATAAATAAATAAGTAAATAAATAAATATACATGGTCCAGGACGTGGAACCGTCAAAAGTTGGTGGTTTTATCTTCATACTAGGGAATGCTCCAACACTACCTGGATGATGCACTGTATTTTATTAGTAATTTATTCACCTTGTCTTCAAGTGCTTGAACTTGGTCCTCAACTTCTTGTCTTAATTGC